AGGGGCCCAATGGAAGCAAATTTAAAACTTTGTCCATAGAGCCGTGCTTATATACACACCATAACATTCCATACATACATATGTTAATAACTCACAGCAGAAAGTATAGTAACATAAAGTTCTATACAGACAGGATCATTCAAATCTAAGTCAGCCAAACAAACTATACACAAACGTAAACCAAAGTCTTCCCCAACATGCAAAATAGTATATAATGGCAAAAGGGTGAAGACGTGTCTCGTGCGTGAGACGCAAGGGCTGACTTTTCAAAACCTTAGTTGTTCTACACAGACTTCACTGAGGCTAGATCTGGACCTCTTTTGGATCACCTACAAACACATGAATGAGCGTGAGCGAAAGCCCAGTGAATAATGTCAAACAAAGAATATACATTGGAACAATATACATCAAACGGCCTTGGGCCCAATTTATATTTCTAACTAATACATACATACATAGACATATGTAAGTTAAGTAACTGCGGTTCCAAACACATCATACGGCCTCGGGCCCAATTCATTAGTATCATTCAGGTCAAACGGGCCTTTGGCCCAATCATACTTTCATGTCAAACTGTTATTCGTGTCAAACTATCATTCGTGTCAAACTGTTATTCGTGTCAAACTATCATTCGTGTCAAACTGGCCTTTGGCCCATTCATTTATTCATGTCGAAACGGCCTTTGGTTCATTCATTTATTTATGTCGAAACGGCCTCTGGCCCATTCATTTATGTCAAAATGGCATCTAGCCCATTCATTCATGTCAAAACGGCCTCTGGCCCATTCATTTATTCTTGTCAGAACGGCCTCTGGCCCTCTCATTCGTTCTTGTCAGAACGGCCGCTAGCCCTTTCATTCGTTCTTGTCAGAACGGCCTCTGGCCCTTTCATTCGTTCTTGTCAGAACGGCCTCTGGCCCATTCATTCATGTCAAAACGACCTTTGGCCCATTCATTCAGTAGAGCAAACATTGTCCACCAATCGAATCAACGAATCTTATAAAACTTACATGAACGTAAGCAATTGGACAAAACATATTTCAGATATCTTTGTTAAGATATTACTCACAGTGATCGGCTGGTTGATTTGGCCTGGAGCTTGACCCTACACATCACATAACACATATGCGTCACAACCGATTCAATCCGTTCTTTAATTCACATATTCCTCTCTAGGCTTTATTCTTATCCTTCTAACTCAATTACAATGCTCAATGCATGCCTAAAAGTACTTAGAAGTGAAAGAGAACGGAAAACGAAACTCAGAATGTCTTTTCAAAATTTCAGAAAATAGGGTCCCCGCTCGAGCGTGGACTTCCCCGCTCGAGCGGACCCTTGAGGCCTGCAAAAGTACTGGTTATGTCGAATTTACGCTCGATCGTGGACTCTAGCGCACGAGCGGAAGGCCTCTCTACATGGCTCCCCACTCGAGCGGACATCCATGTCTACAAAAATACTGGGAGCACGAATTCCCTACTCGAGCGGCACATCCCCCTGCTCGAGCGGACATAAAAAATTCTGGGTTTTCCAGAACACATTCTTGAGCTTCAACTAGGTATTCAAAGGTTCTAAATGCATGTTTTTGGCTCAATCTTCACATAAACATGTACTAATATCAAATTCAACACATTATGAAGCTCAATTTCATAAACCATTTACATGCATGTTCCAATTTACCCCAAACTTGCTACCATGACAACAATTCTATGTATTTCAGACTCATTCCTCATAATTGTACATGCATATGGGATATCACTCCCATTTCAACTTACATGGTGCAATTGGTGATTACAAACATGAGCTTCAACCAAAATTCTTCATGGATCATGTATTTTAAACTTAAACATGCAAATTCAAGCAATTACATACATGCATGCACATATTGGCTTTCAATACAACAAAATCAACTCAATTTCCTCATAATCAAACCAATCCATGTTCTTGACCATTATTCAAACTTGAATTCACAAGATGATAACTCAAAATTCATGAATTACTCACCTAGAGGCTTAATTCTTCCAATCTATAGCAAATTCTTGAGTTTAATCCTCCAATTCTTCACAAACTTGAGCCAAACCTTCAATTTCCTACCCTACACTATCTCCCTCTAATTCGGCTCTCTCACACTCAAGAGCCCAAAATCAGCCAAAATGAATCCGAAGGAGAGAGATTGAGTGCATATGGCCCTTTATATAGCCTCACCAAGTCAATTATTTTAATATTAGGTGGTTAGGCACTTAATTGATCGTTCTGAATCTAATTATTTTGATCCGAATCAATTTTCAATCAAATTTCACCGTAGGCTCTAAAAATTATGCCAATCACGATGGCGCAATCAATTTTAGGTTCTGTGGCCGATAAGGCCTTCAATTTAAATTCCAAAGCAGATAATCAAACAGATATTCCTATGGTGAACAGATAGAAATTCAAAACCACATATATTCATATAAATGGTACTCAAAATCATATCAAACACATAATCATATGCATAAAGAGGATAAATTAGCATAATACGGAACAGGGGTATCACAGGCGTAGCTCCTTGGACCCCCACGAGCTGACCGGGCAACTCGATCCCCGCCAGGGCGCTGCCCCCTAGACCCTTAGGAGCTGACTGGGCAGCTCAATCCCCGACATACTCAGCGAAGTGGCAAAACTAGGATCGCTACAATTTCATTAATTGATATTAGCAAATTTGAAATGTTTCATAAATTATTTTGCTATTTGGCAAGTCATAAATGACAATTATATAAAATTTTCTAATCGCAGGAGTTCAGTTGGCACTTATCTAGACGAGATATTTTATCTCCAGTCAGGGATCAAAAGTCATGTAGTAAGTAAATTTAGGATTTAATATTTAATATATTATTCTTATATTTAAAAACTTGTATTTTATTTGGTCCTATTCATAATTTACAATTTCATTTAATCTCATAACTTTCAAAATAATAATAAAAAAACTCCCTTTTATTATATCTCGAAATTTGACAATGGAATCCTAATTCAATAGGTAACTTAATTATAAGAGAAGATTTCATTAAAGTATCTAACGTAATTTATCTTCTACAATATGATTTTATATATAATCAAAATCTATGATTTTTCAAAGAAACGTAATAAATATAAATGCTAATATTCATTCCTTTAATAAATAAAATATTGTGCATTTTTAGGTGTAAAAGATGGTGTGAATATTAATATATATATTTTTTTGGCTAGTATATTTTTTTATTCATTGAAACTATGAATATTAGCACTTTTTTAAAAAAACAATTTTTTTTTTAACAAGTGTTAACATTCACATATGTTATTCTACAAAATTGAAAAAATATCTTTAAAACTTAGTATGGTATTGTGAAATTTATTTTTACTTTTTTACATTTCAAATATGTGAAATTTCACATTAGTAGAAATTTGAATTTAATTTTTTTGTTTTTTCAATTCATAAAATATGTGAAATTTTAAAAACAAATTTCTAAAAAAAGTGAAATTTCAGAAGTTACATTTTTAAATTGAAAAAAATTGTGAAGCTTATATGTATATATATATATTATTTTTTATAATTTTATATTCAATTGAGATCTTGTTTGATAGATATCGTCGACAAGTTTTCCAAAATATAAATTTTATCAAAAACATGTGCATATATTTCTTTTTATAAAATTTTAAATTTTGAAACGTAAAAAAATAATAGCTACCATAAGTGTACTGACTATTTCTCTAGATTTTTGCTTGCATATAAATAATGGTAAAAATGTCAGAAATTTAAAAAAAAAAATGATTTAATCTTCCAAACAACTTCTATGATGAGACTTTACTGATTAAGAAAAAAATCATGGGACTTAATGAAATATGAGTGCATGAAATAAAATTTATGGATAACAATCCCTTATTTTAATTATTCAATTGCTAACATAAATTTAATTTTTTTTTTTAAAGCTTGTTGTATAGCAATGGCTGCAACCACGACAAGAATTTACACTTTTGGCGACTAAATTTTTAGTCGCCAAAAGTCATCTTTTAGTCACCTAAAAATTTTTATCGACTAAATTTTTTTAGTTGCAAGAGTTGTCGCTGATGGATTGTCGGGAAAGGTATTTGGCGGCTAAAATTATCTTAGTCGCCAAATGTATAGAAATGCAGACTAATATTTTAGTCACCAATAGTATTGAAAAAAAAAATTAAATATCACCTTTTCAGCGACAAAATATTTTCACGAAACCCCTTACCTATATCTAGCTACAAAATATTTAGTCGCCGAAATTTTTTTCTGGTTCCTCCTATTATAATTTTTAGCTACTAAATATATTAGTCTCCTAAAGTGTTATTGTCTTTTAACTACTAAAAGTTTAGTCGCCTAAAGGCTTACATTTTTTGCCACTAAACTTGTAGTCAGCAAAAGTAATGTTGTTCATCAAAAAAGTTTTTGCTACAAAATATTTTAGTAGCCAAATGTCGAATTTTTTTTGCTACTAAGATTTTAGTCGCCTAAAGTATGTTTTTTCTTTTTGGCCACTAATTTTTTAGTCGTTAAAAATCTTGACTTCTTTGGCTACTAAGCTTTTGGTAGGCAAATATTTTGTGTTTTGCCTACTAAACATTTAGTTGGCAAAAGTCTCAGCTTTTTCACTACTAGATTTTTACTCGGCAAATGTTTTTCGTTTTTTAGCTACAAAATATTTTAGTCGCCAAATATCTGTTTTTTTTTTTTTCTAGTCGCCTAATGTCTGCTTTTTATTAGCAGAAAGCTTTGTAGTCGCCATAAGTGTCTTCCAAAATTTATTATTTGGTTTTAGCTCCTAACATTTTAGTCCCTAAAATATGTACTTCCTTTTTTACTACAAATTGTTTAGTCGCCAAAAAAATGCTCTCATGTTTTATCGCAAAATTCTAATTTCTCCACAACCTGTCTGTATTTTGTGCAACCTTTAGTATGTATATAAACAAAACAATACATATTTTATCAATCATTCCACAATGTAAAATTATCAATCATGCCACAGTCCATATTACTTCAAACCATCCAAAAATGAATATCTTTAATGCATATATTCTATACAAACCAACTATTGCCCAAACTAAAATTATATTTCCATACAAAAATTCAACCCGCTATATACAAAAAAATATATATCTACTACCATGTGATATAGCCATTTGGCGTGGTACAAATTACCATCGTAATCTATACCACGACAAAAGGTGATCTATATGCCACGCCAGCAACTATCAGTTGGATTACAAACGTTATATGCACCAGTAATGCTAATATTCATAAAAGCAGAGGAAGACATAATTAGCAGGATTATACAAAGTGTCAAGTGTCCCCCATAAACAAAAATGTAGACTATCCACAAGTCCACACCAAAAGCCATCTACAAAAAAAAAAAAACACACACACACACAATTGCACCAATTACAAAATATCAATTGATTCAGACAAAGGAAAAATGTTGTAATAGCATGCATTTAAGGTAGAACAATCTATAAAAACCTTTTTTCGAAATACAATCATATGTATGTATCATTAAAGATTTATTCCAAACTTGATTTCAATTTACAAATAATACAATTTTTAGGAGCATAACTCTTCATAAAATAAATTTTTATGAGTAGAATGTTTTGGTCACAAATTTATTTTAACTCTTCTTCATTCTCATTTTCCTAGTCAAAGTAAAATGATTGAGTAATCTACGGGTTATCCCCATAACCATATCATGCTATCTTAATACGTATACCGCCTAAATGACCACCGTGTATGATGAAACAATGGCATCATTTACAATGAAAATGTTGAACATTTATTGGATGTCAAACTCTCCCTTTTCCGAATAAGTTTAAGGCGTTTCCAGCAGTAACTCCTAACCTAAGCTTGCTAATTACATTTTGTCTATTGTCACAGGTCCTATTTGTCATGGGGAAGCTAGCTATGGCATTCGTACAGTGGTTCTAGGGTTGTATTGCATTTTCGCCCCCTTATCGCCATTTTTCAGTTAAGTTTAAGGCGTTTTTGGCTCTAACTCCCAACCTACATGTGCTAATTACATTCCGTTTGTTGTGACAGGTCATATTTGTCATGGGGAAGGTTGTCATGACATCCGCACGGTGGTTCGGGGGCTGTTTTATATTTTTGCCCCCTTAACCCCCTTTTTCGGTTAAGTTTAAGGCGTTTTCGGCTCTAACTCCCAACCTACACTTGAAAATTACATTTCGTCTATTGTCACAGGTCCTATTCCTCACAAGAAAGGTGGCTGTGACATCCGTACGGTGATTTGGGGACTGTTTCGCATTTTCGCCCCTTTAACGCCCTTTTTCGATTAAGTTTCATACGTTTTCGACTCTAACTCCCAAACTACGTGTGCTAATGACATTCTGTCTGTTGTGACAAGTCCTATTTGTCATAGGGAAGGTGGCCGAGACATCCATATGGTGGTTCGGGAGCTGTTTCCCATTTTCGCCCTTATCGCCCTTTTTCGGTTAAATTTAAGGCGTTTTTGGCTCTAACTCCAAACCTACACGTGCAAATTACATTCTGTATGTTGTCACAGGTCCTATTTGTCACAGAGAAGTTGGCCGTGACATCCGTACAGTGGTTTGGGGACATCTCGCATTTTCGCCCCCTTAACGCTCTTTTTCGGTTAAGTTTAATGAGTTTTCGGCTCTAACTCCCAAACTACGTGTGCTAATGACATTTCATCTATTGTGACAAGTCCTATTTGTCATGGGGAAGGTGATCGTGATATCTGTACGGTGGTTCGGGGGCTGTTTCGCACTTTCGCCCCCCTTAACACCCTTTTTTCAGTTAAGTTTAATGCATTTTGAGATCTAACTCCCAAACTAAATGTGCTAATGACATTCCGTTTGTTATGACAGGTCCTATTTGTCACGGGGAAGGTGGTCGTGACATCCGTACTGTGGTTAGGGGACAGTTTCCCATTTTCGCCTCCTTATCGCCATTTTCCGATTAAGTTTAAGGCGTTTTTGGCTCTAACTCCCAACATACACGTGCTAATTATATTCCATCTGTTGTCACAAGTCCTATTTGTCATGGAGAAGGTGGCCGTGACATCCGTACGGTGGTTCGGGGGCTGTTTCGCCCCCTTAACGCCCTTTTTCGGTTAAGTTTAAGGCATTTTCAGCTCTACCTCCCAAACTACGTATGCCAATGACATTCCATCTGTTGTAACAAATCCTATTTGTCACAGGGAACGTGGCCATGACACCCGTACAGTGGTTCGGGGACTGTTTCTTATTTTCACCCCCTTATCGCCATTTTTCGGTTAAGTTCAAGGCGTTTTCGGCTCTAACTCCCGACCTACATGTGCTAATTACATTCCATTTGTTGTCACATGTCCTATTTGCCACAAGGGAGGTGGCCGTGACATCCGTACGGTGGTTCAGGGGCCGTTTCCCATTTTCGCCCCCTTATCGCCCTTTTTCGGTTAGGTTTAATGTGTTTTCGGTTTTAACTCCCAAACTACGTGTGCTAATGACATTCCATCTACTGTGACAGGTCCTATTTGTCACGGGAAAGGTGTCTGTGACATCCGTATGGTGGTTCGGGGGCTATTTCCCATTTTTGCCCCCTTATCGCCCTTTTTCAATTAAGTTTAAGGTATTTTCAGCTCTAACTCCCAAAATTCTTTAAAATCTATTGTAAAGCCATTTAAAATCTAAAATTTCTCATTTGAGATATCTTTTCCTGAACAATTTTAATCAACTTATCCATCTGGCTTCATTATGGATTATCAGAATATTTATAAATAAATAAAAAATTAATGGACCCCAATTTTTTTCAACTTACAATTTCAAAATTTCTTCAATGAATTTTAGATTGACAATATATTGTTGCTTGAGAATTATAACACCATATACTTGCAAGTTTTTCTCATAATTGTAAGAGTGATATTGCCACATCATTTCTGTTCAATTCTACATGAAAATTATGTATGAATTTTTTTTTTTTTGTTCTTTTCATTTTTAAAATTTACTCTATAATTGATTTTTTAATAAGATTTTTGTTGTAGAAATATTTTTAGTGTTAATCAAACATTGGAAAAGGAAAACAAAAACAAAAAAAAAATGGTTTTGGACAAAATCTTTTACATGAAAAATATTTTACGACAAAACAAGCGCAGCCTTAATCAATTTTGATTTGGCAATTTGCCAACCAACATTATTTTACAATATAACCAAACAACATGATAAGACGTAATCAATTTTTAAGTAATATTACTCTAACTAAAAAATTAGACCTACATATTTAAGGCAACTTTCTCTATCATGGATTTTCTAATTATTAATCAATCATCTCATTTATCTATAATTGAATCTAGAAAGTAAATTTAAAAGGTAAATTTATTTATTATTTTTCATTTTGATTTAAAAATTCACTCGTCATCGTCACCGCATCATAATGGTCCATACCCAGGACTTGAATGTATTTTAGCATAATATTTTTAAACATGCAAATCAAATACTTCTCAAAATAAATCAAAACAAAATTGCAAATCTCCATTTCAAATATATTAATAATAAATCTCAGTAATGAAAAACACTATTTAGAATAATTAAGTATCAGTAATACTTGTCCAAATCAACTAAAATATCAATTATAGTTGTCCAAATCAACTCAAATAAAAGCAAAACACTTCAATATCACAGCAACACTCGCCCAACAAGTATTCTTCCTGGAAGATCTCACAGATAGCAGACTCTCTAAGCTCTGAATCTAACCAAAACCTTTGCCACTCCCTTTTTAACCTGTAAAAATTTATAAATATCCCAACAAACAAATCAAACACAATCTGTAAGAATGTATATATCATAAATCAAAATTAATTTAATTTAAGATTAACAACATTATATAGAATGGTCAAAATTAACATTTAAAAAATAATACTAACAAACCAAAAGTTTATCTTACCTCAGGGCCTTTGGGATATGAAATGAGATAAACCAAATCTCGTCAAACTTTACCATATCCATCAACACCCCAATTGGTTCCCCACGAATTCTTGACCCAATAGTATTCTATTCCATCTTGTATGCCATAACCCATCAACAACATTGTATGTCTACCTAACATTTGTGTTCTATCATCATCATCCTCCTCCTCCTCCTCCTCCTCCTCATCATCATCTCACCGACATCATCATCACCATCCTTCTCCTTCTCCTCATCCTCATTATCATCATTATCCTCCTCCTCCTCATCATCATCATCATCATCATCATTATCCTCCTTCTCCTCCTCCTCATCATTATCATCATCATCCTCGCCATCATCATCATCAGCACCTTGATAAATTTCCTACACAAATATAAAATGGATAAAAATTATGATAATTTTGAATAATAATAATAATTATTATTATTATTTATAATCATATGTTACTTACATGTCCGAGAGTGATGAGGGGTTGGTAGACATCCACCGTAACAACAATCGGATGGTTGTTAATGATGGTTGTTAATGAGTTGTACAAATTGATTAGAGAATTCTTTAAAAAAGATGATTTCATTATCTTCAATATATAACTTGTGTCTGAAAAACAAGAATACAAAAAAATAAAAATAAAAAATAAAAAATAAAAAAAATTGATACTTCATAATTGATTTGAAAAGTTAATTTATAAAAAATATATATAACTACTTTACATGTGGCTTTGGCATGCACTCTCCTCTCATTCCATAATATGGATAATCTTCCTCCATAGATACCCCATAGTTTTGTATACATGTGAGTCACTTTACATGTTACAAACTGGAGACATTATTCAATTGTCAGTACAGGAGATTATAGACTGTGTTTGGGTTAGCTATCCGCCTACATCACCCTAAGAGGATGCAATGGGATGTTATAATTGTACTGTCATTACGGTTTTGACTTTTATACAAAACTATGGGGTATCTATGGAGGAAGATTATCCATATTATGGAATGAGAGGAGAATACATGCCAAAACCACATGTAAAATAGTTATATATATATTTTTTATAAATTAACTTTTCAAATCAATCATGAAGTATCAATTTTTTTTTAATTTTAAATTTTTTTTTTTTTTTTTTTTTTGTGTTCTTATTTTTCAGACACAAGTTATATATTGAAGATTATGAAACCATCTTTTTTGAAGAATTCTCTAATCAATTTGTACAACTCATGTTCGTATGATGGATGTCTACCAGCCCCTTATCACTCTCGGACATGTAAGTAACATATGATTATAAATAATTATTATTATTATTATTTAAAATTATCATAATTTTTATCCATTTTATATTTTTTGTGTAGGAAATTTATCAAGGTGCTGATGATGATGATGGCGAGGATGATGATGAGGAGGAGGACAGAATAGAAATGTTAGGTACATGCAA